TAATTAGTTGATAACATTAACTGATTGTAGAAAGATGTTTGGTAAATTAACTGTTAGCTGATAGCTGTTTGATATAATTTCTTTTCTCAACAATGCAAGCTAATTGAAAGAGTTGCTTTGAGTAGCTTTTTAAATTTTTATATTTTGGAGTACAAAAAATTAATTAACCAAACATTTACATTGATTTTTAAACCAAGTGAAACAATTAATAGTAGTCAAATAAGTCAAACTTAGCTTATATGCTAACTATTTTACCAAATAGGACCAATGTAAATCGTCGTGACTCAATGTGGCTAAATGACGGTTGTGCACAAGGGATCTGACCACTTTAAGCATAATCCCCAATCACCAATACTATTGTTACCGAGATTCAAACCTTAATATCTTTTTCCAAATACTACCTACTGAATCCGTGATAGATTTCTCTTTCCAAGTCAATGCATCATTGATTGATTAATTCCTTAATTTATGTATGATTATGGGGATCATGCACGTACGACAGCTACTAATCAATAATAATGTCAGACAATAATAATGTGGATTAAGAGTATGGGAATGATATTTTTGTAAATAAAATAATTTCGACAACAAAATAGAATTGCATATTTTTTGTGAGTGCAACCCTTGTTGGTGCAATAGTTGTTGTTGAATGACTATATATGCCGGGTTTTTTTTTTTTTTTTTTTTTTTTTTTTTTTTTTTTTTTTTTTAGTTGAGGAGAGTTCAGTTTAATTATTATCTTGAGGAAGACCTATCTCATAATTTTTTAATTAATATGTCACACCACTATTGATCATCCGACTTTACAATATTTGTATTTTGTATTAACAGTTCGCTTACCAATTATTCTAAACTGATGAGTTACAAAAAGATACTTTCACTATTCATAAAAACATTACATTTAAAAAAAAAAAAACAACATTACATTTCATATTTATACTAATTTACATTCTTACTTTTTTGAGCTTATAGTAATTTACATTCTTACTATTTGAGCTTATTATAGGATCCTCATGACAAATGTTTATTAGCTTTTATGGTTTGAGACGATCAGTTGAAAATAATCTAGGTTTGTTTACCTCATCATTGTAATCCTTTAAACAACTTTTAGATTTGTGCTACGAATTTCCTCATAAATAAAAAGGATTATAGAGGTGTTTGATAAATAGTTGTTAGCTGATTGAGTTAGTGGGTTTGACTAGTTTTGCATTAATTAGTTGATTGTAGAAAAATGTTTGGTAAATTAGTTGTTAACTGATAGCTGATTACATGCAAAATAACTTTCACAAAAAGCTGATCGAAAAAATTACTTTGAGCATTTTTTTGTATTTTAGCATTTTGAAACAATAACTTAAAAAAATCTAATTAATAAAATGTTGATATTAACAAATAATAGTGGTCAAATAAGTCAAAATTGACCGATAAGCTAACTGTGTTACCAAACCGAGGTATATATATATATATATATATTATAATAATGTTGTGTGATACATATATATACTAGGGAATTGTGGTTGAGCGGTGGGGGACAGTCACCTCTTGCAAAATCTCTACTATATATCCAAATGAAAGCAAATATAATAATATTAAAATTGTGGAACGTGAAGAGTAGCAGTAGCTTTTGCAAAGCTGCTTTGTGGTGTTGTTTGTACGTTATGCATCCATCAGTTGTGGGGTAACACAAAAATTGTCGTTCAACAATTCAATTCTCTTAATTAATTAATCAACTCTCAAATTTAATTAATGTCAGTCTTCTAAATACAATATAATAACTATTTAGTTCAAAGGGTTTTCAAAAGTAGTACGACTTAATTTTATTTATCCCAACATTGATGTGATTATTGAATAGTAGTGACACCATATATGATAGAAAAAAAGAAGAAGTTATGTTTAATAATATAATGTTTTTGGAAACTTTATTGGTGTTATGATGTACTTAGTACAAATATGCAAGTGTAATATAATGAGTTGTATCGAGGATAGAATATATATATCTACTCGGTTGTTCGAATAGCTTGACAAGTTTAATTGCCCGCAACACTAGGTCAGCATAGTTGGCCAGAGTAAGAGGTTGGCCATGTGTGACATAGGAGAAGATTGAACATGGCTCGATGCAAAAAACAACTAGGTTGACTAACTACCCTGACGAGCTAGTCAAGGAAAGACGGGTGGAAGCACACAACAATGGACATATTTAGTATATATATAGGTCGACTTCATGTATAATATAAATAGTTCGGTAGACCTTACTTAAAGGGACATATTGTATTCACTTCATTGCATACGTTTTGCTCAAATGTTGTGCCCAATCACCTAGAGTCTCTACACTAAGGCACTAACCAATTGACGTTTTATCTATATACACTCAATCCCTAAACTCCAATCTAATTTACGCCATTAGGTATGATTAGCATTGATGTTATTAGCAGGACACATGCACAATATTTGAAGCAAAACGAAGCAAACTGTATTAAGAACTTAATAATTAAATCAGAGATAAAAGATGGGTGGGGAAGAAAACCACGAACCCAGGACAAATGAGGAATTAGTTGTCCGTGCAAACACATGAGCCACTTGATTCATTGGCCTCTTGACATGACGAACGGACACATTTTCAATGTCACTAGCAATCTTAATATATTGTTTAACAACAAAATCGACATGCACAATATAATTGACTACATTTGCACGATAGTACAGGTGTCATGTTGTACCTAGTACAAATACACATGTGTAATAGGTTGTATCAATTATTTAGTATCGTAAACACAAGTGTTAATAATACTCAATTGTTAATAATACTCAATACAATTCGTTGTTTACATTTACATGATTATACTAAATATACCTTAGAAATTAATTTTGATATTTTTATTATATAGTTGGGCCATCCTTTTTCTCTGCAAACACAAAATCAGTGACAGTATGGTCTGACTACATTTGTCAAAATGGGAACCCAAACAAAACACCGCCTTTATGACTTCTCTGAGAAATATTGAGCAGTGTGGGGACGAAACTTATCAGTACAAAAACAATAATTTATGTTTCATTTTTTAATTTTATTCCTAATTAATTAATTAAAAAACAAACAGTATTTCTTCATCTGATGTCATAAATATATTGCAAATTATATTATCATTTGATTGTTTTTTTTTTTTTTTTCATAATGAGGAAATATGTTAAAATGTTACTACAATAATAAATAAAGATTACCTTGTGTTAACTCGTTGTATCAAACTAAAAGTTTAAATTAATAGTTAGAGAATACATTTATTATTTATATATGATATATTTCTGAGAGTCAATATTATGTACTTTTTATTGTTGTTCCCAACAGGTTGAATTCCCAACCCCAAGGGTCCTCATATCTCGGTCCGACAGAGCATTTGAGAGGATGTAAATGATGGTAACTCAGCTGAACACAGAGGCCGGTTAGACCTTTGCTTACTGTGCACAAGGAGCCCCTCACTTTGAGAGGTTGCTCTCACACTGTCGTTGGTGAGAGTCGATTCCGGGTCATTGTTTCCAACTTCACTCATGTGACCAACTGAGTTGCCCATGCAAACATTATGTTCCTCTTATTTATAATTCAATCACTTGTTAATATGATTAATTTGTTACAATATTATAAAGATAATATGTGTTTATATTATTATGAGTTCAACTAATTAATTGGTTGTACGTATTCAATTATTTCTAAGTAGCACAAAATCAAGAAAATGAGATATTAGAAACATGAAAATGTAAAACACAAAATGTGAGGAGAAAATGTGTAATTATAAATAATGCAATTGACTACCTTAAATAAATAAATAAATAAGCTATATTTAGACTTCAAAAGTAGGTAAAATAAAAAGTACACTTAGCTCATTTAAAAAGCTGAGTTGATATTAAATTAATGCTATATTAGATTCCTTGTGAATTTTTTGAAGAATTGGTACTGATTTGACATATTATGTGGTGTTAGTTTAGCTTACTATGATTTTTAAAAAAATTGAAAAAGAAATAAAAATTTGTCAACAAAGGGCAACAGAGACAACCTTGTCCGATTGTCTTCCTTTATCGTCCCAAATTTAACATTAATTTACTATTAATTTAGCTTTTGCATGGTGTTTTTTTTTTTTTTTTTTTGGTAGAGCTTTTACATGGTGTTAATTTAACTTTCTAAATGAGCTAATTGCACTTTTTTGTCTAGTTGTAAGGTTTAAATGAAACTTTTTTTTATTTAAACAACTGAATTCTACTATTTAGACTAAGCTACTTCAATAATTTATTTGACACTTATCTCACCTTATAAAAAAATATAGGAATATTTTGTAAATACTTTTCCGTGTTCCCGAGTTACAGTTCAACCATCCATTATGATTCAATAAGACCTTAATTGCTGCCTCCTACATTTATAACCTACTCAAAACACATCATTGTCTAACAACAACAACAAAAAAAGACCTTAATTGTCCTCGGAGCTGAGTACTAATTAACTGATTAACTAATTGATTTAAAAAAGTTAATACTCCTTCCGTCCCGAATTGGTTGTCACATTAGCTTTCTACACACTTTTTTAAGAAATTAAAGTACTTCATAAATATTATGTGTTTTCCAATTATGTCCTCACTTTTGAAAATAAAAGCAACAAAGAATGCAACACTAATAAGGGTAAAAATGATGGTGACGTTCAATTTTAGAAACATGACACAACATTTTGGTACTTACTAAAAAGGATAGTAAGACATGTAAAATGGGACAAATAGTATATATATATTGATTGAGAAGAAATACTTAATGCATACAATCACTAGAAAGCACATCAACAAGAAAGGGGGAGGGATATCACCTCATACCTGACATAAAAATAACTTTCCGATCAATAAAGAGTAGGCAGCACAATTTACAGATCGCTTAACAAAATCAGAAGATATTGATACAAAGATCCTCTATGAAGAGTAGGGATAAGAGTGGCGGGGAGTCTCGGGATTAGGTTGGTACAAAGACTCAAGACTAGGTAGACTCAATATAATAGAGGCCAGGACTATATAGCATATTGTGTTGTGCTTTTCAGCTTCAAAAAGCGTGCAAAAAGAGAGAGAGAGCAAAGTACACAAATCTCTCTCTTCTCTCTCTTTCATGTTCCAGACACAATAGCTGATGAATGAACTATAAAATAATTGAAGCCTTTTCGATTCTTGCAGAAGAATGGACGATGATAGATGATGAGAAGTAGCCATTGAAGACCACCAATTCAACCTTCTTTCTTCCCACATGCACTGTATGTATATATATATATAGATTCTGCAGAAATTAAAGTACACAGAGAGATCAGATATGGCTTTGGAAGCACTTTCCACCACTCCCTGCAATAATAATGACCCCTTCAACTTCATATTCTACGACGCCACGCTCTCCGGCGCCGCCGCCGGCGGAAACAACGCCCTCTTCTCGGAAAATGTCTGCCCGGAGACTCAAGATTTGACCACCGGCGGCGTGGGTAGTGGTGGTTTAAATAGCGGTCGGAGCAGTAACTTGGTGGGGGCGGCGGAGGGTTCCGAGGGGGCCGTGCGGGAAGGCGGTGGTGGCCGGAAGAAGCGGCGGAGGCGGCCCAAGGTTTGTAAGAACAAAGAGGAGGCTGAGACTCAGAGGATGACTCACATTGCCGTCGAGAGAAACCGCCGGAAACAGATGAATGAACACCTCGCCGTGCTCCGGTCTCTCATGCCGGAATCTTATGTCCAAAGGGTATTCCATTCATTCATTCCTATATTGCATATATATTTAGTAGCTTAGATTTTGTTGCAAAAAAAAAAAAAAAAAACACTTTTTCACCCTAATTTTTATCCAATACAATTATATCCCAAATGAGATGTCATAAGTTTGAGCCTCAGTAATAGTATTGACTCTTTGTGTTTCACTAGATTGAAAAAATAGCTATGAATAGATACTATACTATAACACACACGGCTGGAAATTATGAAATTTTCGATCACCTGAAAGTGATCTTAAATCAAGTCGAAAATCTTGTTCCGACCACTTTCGGTATCCGAAAAAACTTTTGTTGCTATTTCTAATCACTTTTTGCTTTTAACTTGATTTAAGATCACTTTTAGCGGGTAAGAAATTCCATAATTTTCAGCAGTGATAGAGTCAGTAGTACTAAAAAAATATCCAATAAAAACTTACCAGAATAAATAAGCTGCAGTCAAATTAGTCAGATTGTTAACTTGTTTTGAGTCATCTCTACCAGTCAAATTAGTCAGATTATTGATTTATTTTAATTCAGTCAGCTAAGATTTATTTTGTACACACTCTTATTTTTCTCGTCATCCAAAAAGAAATCTTATATGAACCCTAAAAATTTGTGGTGTAGGGTGACCAAGCCTCAATAGTTGGTGGCGCTATAGAGTTTGTGAAGGAGTTAGAACATCTCTTGCAATCCCTAGAAGCTGAAAAGCTCCGATTACAACGACAACAACAACAATCCGCCGCCGGTGACGACGGAGCAACGGCGGCAACCAAGACCGATGACGGAGCCGTCGCCTCCGTCTCCGGCGGCGTGAAGGGGAGGAGTTTCACGAACCCATTCTGGCAATTCTTCGCGTACCCACAGTACACTACGTCGTGCTCGTCGTCGATGATTCCCAACAAGTGCACCTCTAAAACCACGGCGGCCACCGCCGACATTGAAGTAACCTTGATCGAAACCCATGCAAACGTTCGAATCTTGTCGTCGACGAGAAAAACTCGGCAGCTGTCGAAAATGGTGGCCGCCTTTCAGACAATGTGCATGTCTGTTCTCCACCTCAATGTCACCACCTTCGATCTTTTGGTTCTCTATTCTATCAGTGCTAAGGTACATAAAAAACTACTCCATCAATCCCATTTTACGTGTCTGATTCGATTAACCAGACTTGACTGAAATTATTTTTAATCCAATTTTTTATAATATTAAGTTTAGTATTAATATACAAAATTTATATATTTAGAAACTACAACTATTAAACACAAAAAATTAAATTTAAAAATGTGTCTGATCGGTTAACGAGACTTGACTGAAATTATTTTTAATTCAATTTTTCGTAATATTAAGTTTAGTATTAGTATACAAAATTTATATATTTAGAAACTACACTAAAAGTGCTATTAAACACAAAAATTAAATTTAAAATACTAAAAAAAATAAACAAAGAAGAAAGAGTTGATTTGACCAATAAATAGTAAGTATGACAGATAAAATGGGACAGAGAAAATACTCTTTTTCTTGCCCCTTTGATTTGAACTAGTCAGTTATAAATAATTTAAGTTGATTTACTTCTTTTTGGTCTTTTGCTAGCTAAGGTTACAAGACGGAATTTACTCACTCTTGAAAAGATTATGGGGTTTCACTCCTCATCTAAAAAAAAAATAGATTTTTAAAAATAAATTTTGAATATGTAAGGAGAATTTTAATTTACCTAAAATTTTTTAGTGAAAATGACGGGAGAATATGCAAGAATCTACTTTTTAGAAATGGCTTTATGGACTTAATCATCACATGGAAACATGAGCCATTTCCCATTAATTTTTTTTCTTCATTTATGTTTGGTAATATGAGGGGGAATTAAAATGATTTCCATTTTCAAAAGCATGTAAATATATACAAATTAAATATGAACAAGAATATAAATATCATTAAAATGTGTTACAATTAGGTTGGGAAGTGTGATTTAATTGATCGATTAAGAAAATCTTTAAGTTTATGGTTCAAACTTAACAATACTTCTTGTTTATAAATTTTCAATAGCAATATTAAAACACCATCATATATATATACTAATATAATTGTATCTGGTACTAGTTATTGGAAACCATTACCAATAATACCTGATAAATTATGCCGGTATATGTGATGGTGTCAGATGCAAAAGGCATCCATGCTGATCAGCATTGTAGACTTTCTCGTGTGTGTGTATATATATATATATATATATATATATATATATATATATATATATATATATATATATATATATATATATATATATTGTGATAATAATTAAGTTTATTTTTTTTATGAAAATGGAAATGATTGTTAGTGTTAATTATGATGAAAATGTGCAGGTGGAAGGGGGTTGCCAACTAAGTTCTGCAGATGAAATTGCAGAGGCAGTTCACCACATTCTCAGAGTAATAGAGGAAGAAGAAGAGGTCACTATACCCTAAGCTCATCTTCTTCTTCCCTATTAAGCTGGCTGCAAATTAGGGCACCCCACAGTATTCATTTTTATTTTTATTTTTATTTTTATTTTTTTGTGTGTGGCTAAGCTAGTTTCAGTGAAACATCATCTCTATCTCTATCTCTGAATGTTGCTTAGAGTTTCTTGTCCTTCCTTACAGGTACAAATAGTTGTATTATATTAATGCATGTTAATTAATCTTACCCTATTAGGGTTTGGTGATTATTAATTCTCTTAACTATGTAGTTAGCACATTGATTGGAATTTATATATTAGGGTTCGTATAATTTGATTGTAGACGCGATAAGTATAAGATAATAAAGTTAAGTTTAAATTTCACAATCTTGCAACCCATCAAAAATACTAAAAGATCAGAGAATGTAATTTAATTTATAGACGTGTTTCAATTCAAACGTCTGGTTTTAATATATCGTACAAAAAATAAATGGGTATGTTGTGCTACAGGAAATTAAATGATTTTTGACATATACATTTGTCTTTTTTGGCATATGGGATGTGAGATCAATCATGGAGAATAGAATTGGAAGCTTGTGGATTGAGAGAGAGAGAGGGGGAGAGAGAGATGAATGCATGAAAGCCAAAGGTAGACCAAAAGTTGGAAATTTGTGAATGTACATGATGAGGCCATTTCCTAATTTCCAACCTAGGAGACAAGAACAGAAGTCATTTATTGTCGTTGGGGTCCCCTTTTCTCCAAAAAATCCCATATATATATATAGGGTTTGTATTTTAACTTTCATATACTATTTTCAAATTTTAAAACTTTAATTCAATTATATTTGAGTAGAATTATATTAATTCTTCCCAAAAAGTTGAATCCCCAATCCTAAGGGCCACCACACCCCACCCGACAGAGCATCTGGGATTATGTAAATCATGGTAACTCAGCTGAACACAGAGGCTAGACCTTTGCTTACTGCGCACAAGGAATCCCCTCACTTTGAGATGTTGCTCCCACACTATCGTTGTTGAGAGGTTGAGTAGAGTTAATTTGTTTTTAACACTTGCAAGCCTCTTTCTTTCTTCCATATTTATCTTTATGGTTTTTTAAAAGTATCATAAAAATAATAGTATTGAAAGTTAGGTTTATTGTCCAAAAAATTGTAACTTATCATTAAATTACATCACGAGTCATGTCAATTAAGATATGATTGATAGTGAGCCAATTAATTTGAAGACTATATATACAACTCTTGCAAATATGAAATAATGACTAAGTTTATAGTTGATAATATCAAACTTAATAGCATATTGATAGGAATGGAATGTAAGACCCAATTTTGTCTCTTTGAATATTATTGTTTCTTTGAATAAATCTTATCATTATTATGATAGGTTTTAAAAAAGGTGATAATTTTTAAATGATTTGACTAAATACTATACATACAATCTATATAGATCTTTTTGTATATCCATGTAATACACTATTTCCACCACTATAGCCTACTCTAGAGCTCTTATGTGACGCAGCCTAAATTTTATCAGGAGTACTCCTAGTTGAGTTGGTCAGACCATTGGCTTGGTAACTAAGTTTGACTATCAGTAGGAGCTACTCATTAGTCGTCGTTTTGATTTGGATCGATCAACTATGGACAACCTAGACTGATTTACCTCATTATGATAAGTTTACTCGTAAATCAAAGTTTATATTTTATATCATATATTAGGTTTTTGTTTCATGACCAAAATATATAGCATATAAAGTATAATCATTTTCACACACACATTATATATATGAAGTGATAGGGTATATATGTTCAAAATGTTTATCTATATATAGTGAGTTGATGGCAATCTTTGAGTGCAACATGTGGCTACACATGTGCATGTGCATGGTAGCAGTGGTTAGACAAACAATTATCCTACAAATTTTGTATAGAAACAAGTAAAAGTTAGAACCAATAATATATATGCTTTTCAGCTTTTTTGGGGTTTCTGTAAATTTGGGGCAAAGGTAAAATGACTGGGTTGGAATCTTTGCTGGAAATGGGAGATAGGGTTAGCAATTGTGCTTAGCTTCCATAATCATAAACCCTAATCCATTTTTGGTAGGTCCATATTAGTGTGAAAGGATTTGCTGATCTCTTGTTTTAATTGTACTCCAAAAACCATTTTTTCTATTTTGAAGCTTGCTTACAATGCCATCCTAGAATTTGATTGATTGATCTAGAAATGAGGTTGATGAAGTGATAATATTTTATTTTAAATTAATAAAGTTTAAAAGAAACGAACTAGGGTAGAGAACACATGAAAATAAGATCACGATACTTAGTTCAAATGATGCATGTTATCTTGTGCAAGTAGAGGTTGAAGACTTTAGGGCAAATTGTCGAAAGTTTGAACTCTAAGTTAGACATGTTTAAAATTGGAAATCTATCTAATCTACATATTAATTTGTTTATTTATGAAGGTGTCTAACAAAACACCTACTTCCGATGTCCCTTAATAAATTCCTTAATTGATTTGTCTCTCTGTCGAAAATGCCTAACGTTACATAACATGGCCTTAAAGCTCTATAAAAAGCCTCTTATTATTAATAACCTCAAGTAAGTGAAAGTGAGGGTCCTTCTTGTTTCCACATTGTACCAGATCGAGCTTATGATTTTTCATTTTCTAATTCAATAATTCCACACTTTTACAATTAACATTTATTCTAAGAGAGTAACGTAACAAAAGCACTTCTCAACACACCCGGCCCCTAGATGTAAGCCTCTACCAATTGGCTCTTTAGTACTATTATGCATCAGCTACATTAACTTTTACACATAAATACAAAAATTTATCCCACAAGACAAGTTTTTCACTAATAACTAAATTGGTGAATTCATTCTTATACACAATAGATAAATTATCGCTTTGTCTCTCTTTCTTTATTAGAATGCCCTAAGATAATAATTGATCAAAAACTGAATTGACGCGTCATTAAATGATTAAAAACATATAAAATAATATAATATTCTAGACATGCATATATAATCATTTCCCATAAAATAGATATTATTTTCATAGATGAACTCTTTTCCTAGAGAAGAAAAAAGGGGAATTTTAAATCTATAAAGTGTAGATGCATGGACCATATGGGGATGTGGATGTAGAGGAATTGGGTTGTCATCACTCTTGGAAACATGCCTCAAGACAATTACTAAGCTTTCATAATTGATTAAGCATTTTAAGTAATTAAAATATTATTATTATATATCTTACATATATGTATAGTATATATATATATATATATATATATATATATATATATATATATTATAATAGTGAAAGCACATGACATTGTCAATGTCATTTTGAATAAGGATTTTGTTTTCATCCCTACTACTACATGTGCATCCCATCTATATATTTTTTCACCTAACCATATCTCTCCAAATCCATCAATCTAATGAATTAAATTAACTCAGGTGACCGAATTAACAAAACCCTGATAATTAAAAGAATAATGAGAGATAAAGACAAAGATGTTGAAAAGATAAAAATGTTGTATTAAGACTTGTGTAATGTGATCACAAGAAATTTTATGATGTCCTAAATATTGCAAGAATTTATACTATGCTCAGAACATGCAATTGCCCCACGTAAAAAGGGCGGGTAGTTGCGATTTGACTGGGTCGAAGGCCGAGGCCGGCATTGGCACGTTGGGAGCCCGTGGTCGAGGTCGAGGCTAGCACATACATTCACTTATAAATTTTACTACTATTCTATGGATCGAAATACCAACAAAATATTTCTAGAAACAATTAAATTTGTAATAAGTAATCAATTGAATAGTAGTGAAATTTTGCAATTTAAAAGTATCTTAAGACTTGCACATACATTAACTTATACCAGTAGTGATGATGAAGTGGAAAGTGAAGAAAAGACAAAAGGGAGTGTGAAATTTTGCAGTGCTGACAAACACTATTAAGTTTTTAGGCTTTGGGCAGAAAAGGCATGCAAAATCAGTTCTTTGTCACCTTGCAATTTTGTAGTGTACATAAAACATCAATAGGTATAGATTTTGATGAATTCTTGCACGAATGATTCTGAAAGAGAATATGAGAAAGAAAATGGATAGAAGAAAAAAAATAAAAATAAAAATCAAAGGAAATTATGCGACTGGGCGCGTGAAGTGCAAGCACATGGCTGGGCACTTTTAGTGCGCTTCACTTGACAAACGCAACAGTTTTTTCAATTTTGGTGGGCCCACTGTGCAGATAAAAACCAGGTCATCATGCTAAAATTCCAAATCTTCTCTTCCTCCACATGTGCATGAAAATCAGCAAAAATCATCTAAAATCCACTATTGTGGATGCTCTAAATGTTTTAATAATTTATTATTAATGAAAATTTGATTTTTTTTTATACTTACGAGGTATCTCATAGCAAAGTATAATGTGAATCGTGGGTCATGATTCACATTGTAAGATACACCAGTAATACATGCTTATTTTTAGTATAGTATAGATTGTTCTATACATTCATTTTTTGGATCGTGCAATAAAAATGAATTTTCCATACAATAAAATGTACATGTGTCAAAATATAATGAATCTACTAAAAATGAATCTGCAGTATATTAAAAAATAAAAATAAATTTGTATGATAGTGGTCAACTTTACAATATGGACCATGGTCCACGGTATAAGAAATGATACCGTCACACGTATTAGATACTCTATCTATCTTATTTTACTTGTCTTGTTTATTATTTATTGTTCAATTCAACTCTTAAAATGTTATTTTTTTTTAATATTTTGTTATAATTTTTAAATTTGGATTTTTGTGTTTAATGGTGCTTTTTGTATGGTTTCTAAATATAAACTTTATGTACGAATATTAAATTAAAAATCTTTAAAAGAAAATAAATTGTGATACATAAAATTAGACGGATGACGTAATATATATGTGATTAGCGTTGGCCCAATAGAATTTGACATGCAATTCTGGGCTTAGAGTTAAGGCCCGTGATTAGGATGGGCTGTTAAAGCCCATTAAGCCCATACTTCATTTTTTTTTACATAGCTTTGGACTTGGTCTTGAAGCCCAAATACATTTTCCTGGAGGATATCAGCCCAATTCCGTGTTTTACTTGCTGGATTGAAAATGACATCATTGTCCTTCGGTGTATATACATCTTGACGAATTAGGTGTTCGTTGGATAAACTCATCTTTTATGTAATAGCTTACAAATTACACAGAAAAGATAAATTATATTAGGAAGATTCTATGCGCTGGGCTCGACTGGGAGGATATTAACAAGAATCAAATCTGTAATCTTCTAGTATAAAAATTATGTTTCACCTTCTCGACCACCACTTTCAGGGCATGAGCTGGGTGTTTCGAAATTGACAACTGTGAGTAGATAGTGTTGTTTGAGTGACCCTAGCCCCCTTCAATGGGGATAGTTATGCTGTGGGCTCGTGCCCAGCGTGCTTCATGCGCACGGATAACGGTGCCGTCAGGCACCGTTATCTTCCCTTTTTTTTTTTTTTTTTTTTTTTTTTTTTTTTTTTTTTTTTTTTTTTAAATTTCAGACCGCTTCGTTATAGGAGCATATATTCACAGCTTTGTGTTCATAATTTCATAACTGTACATTCATAATTCCATAACTGTACATTTATAATTCTATAACTGTACATTCATAATTCCGTAACTGTACATTCATAATTCAATAACTGTAAATTCATAATTTTCGAAGCTCTATGTTCATAATTGTAAGTTCATAATGTCAGAGTTCTATGTTCATAATTTCATAACTGTACATTCATAATTTCATAACTGTACATTCATAATTCCATAACTGTACATTCATAATTCCATATTGTATATTCATAATTCCATACCGAACATTCATAATTTTCGAAGCTCTATGTTCATAATTCCATAACTATACATTCATAATTCTATAACTGTACATTCATAATGTCATAACTGTATATTCATAATTTCATAACGAATATGCCGTTAACGCCGTTAACGGCGTTTCGAACAATTTTTTTTTTTTATAATTAAAACAGCGTCGTTTTCACGGAAAACGACACCGTTTTAGCGCCGTGCGCACCTTGCAACGTGCGCACGTGCGCATAGCATAATTTGCCCCTTCAATGGACTAAAATAAACATGAAAAAAGAATGATCTGGATTTAGATCAGTAGTTTTAAAGTCAATGTTAGTCACGAACTTATTATCTTAAAACAGTTCCAAGTTGAGTGATTAGGGATTGTAAACCCCACTTCTATGTAATAACACATCTGGACTAGAAAAACATTGTGCAACAGTTTCAATCAAGAGGGTATTGATAAGAACCAAATTGAACCAGCCCGACATTCAAATATGAGAATCATACTCCATCTACGTACTTAGTCAAAGAGGTCAGTCTTTGCCATGCCTAACATTGACGCAATCCTGAACTAATATAATCCAAGACGGTCCAGGCCTAAATTAGTTTGATGACTACTCTGTCAGTATAATAATATTGTATTGGCATATTAAAAACGCGCGTCTCCTCTTAAAAAAAAAATCAGGTTCGATTCCCAGCAACAACATATGAACTAAAATTCCAGAATCGATGAACTATAATTCCATAATTGATGAACTAAATTTCCATAATCTAATCTATGAACTAAAAATTCTAGAATGAATGTACTAAAATTCTAAAATCTATGAATTAAAATTTCAGAATCGATGAACTACAATTCCAGAATCGATGAACTATAATTCCAGAATCGATGAACTATAATTTCAGAATCGATGAACTATAATTCCATAATCTATGAACTAAAATTCCAGAATGAATGAACAATATAATGCTGTTGCTGGGAATCGAACCTGAATTTTTTTTTTAAAGGGGAGACATCGCGTTTTTAATAAAACGACGTCGTTTTTGCATCCGTATGCACCATGCATAGTGCATACGGATGCACAACATAACTACTCGTCAAAACTAATTTAGATTAAAAAAGGTTGTTGGTGTATTATTTTGTTAGTTTCCTAATCTTTGAAGGTATTGAACATTGTGAAATAAAGGAGATTCAACAAGTATGGAAATCAAAGAAGATTGAACATTCAAGAATTGTAAAAATCCAAGAAGATCATGGATGTTTCTTATCACTCTTGGAGGAGATGATCTTGAAGATATTTCTCATATTATGATCTTCATTGAAAAGGAAAGAAAACTTGGGAAGTTTTCATTTTCCCGCAGGTTTGATCACTTGTAGTATTTTGGGTATAACTCTTTTTACATAAATCCAATTGAGTTGAGTAAGATGTCATTAGAAAGGTATCTCATGTGGCTACATCTTTTTAGAAGAAACCATTCGCATATTTGAATGTTAAGATGCTCGAAAATTCGGTTGAAGTCAGACTAGAGAATCTGTCAAGTTTCCTTTTACACTTGAGAAGTTTTTTATTCAAGGAAATACTCAACTAGGGTTCATATTAATAGATTATGAACTTAACTGATATTATTGATGTAAAACAATCAGCTTTAAATAGCATACAAGGGAGAGAAGATAGCAGGAAGATAGAAGGTTGTTGTAACAACCAGTCTAACAATGCTACATAAAAGGAATGCAACTAGAACTAATCATATACAAAAGATGTCAGCCACAGATATCCTTAACACATATGACTACTATATATTCCCAGAGGTGCTTTGAGAATGGTGGGGGATCAAATTCTATAATTCTAACAAGGGATTAGACAATAGGTCGCTCAAGGAATTTTCTACGTACTACAACGGAGACTATAGTTTGACCTTGAGGAAATTGGTTACTATCATTTGTGAACGGGAAATCACCTCTGCAACGTGAGTTGCATCTGAAGACAAGAGGGATCTTTCAGCACGAGGGAATCGTGTTCTCAATTCCCAGATCGTTACATAAAGAGCAGCAACAAGTGTTCAGGATTCGTACTTGCTTGTACAAGTTTATATGTCTTATGTAATTAAAAAATGCAGATTGAATTGAACTTAGGGCCTCGTGGATTCAATCACGTTAAAATCTTGGTGTTTTTATTTTCTTTATGCATTTTTATTTATATATTTAGTTTTACTTCATGATTAATATAACCCGTAACCAAGTATTTGGTCTTATTTAATTACTCTGATACCAAAAAAAAAAAAAAAAAAAAAAAAAACTTGACTTTAATTTGATTCTATCCTAACTCGGTTTTTTTTTTTTTTTTTTTTTTTTTTTTTTTTTTTTTTTGTCTGTGGTTACGCACGAAAACAGGAAGGAAGGTGATAATTTGGTCCCTTCTTGTATAGGACATGAAATGGAATCACTCTGCACTTGAAAGCAAAGTGATAATAACATTTAGAATGATTAGATTTGGTTTGGAAACAAAACGCCAAACGCATGACTAACAAAAATTTAAAAATGAATAAAATGCTCATATTCCTTTTTTATATGTAAAATTTAATAACAATTAATAGTTTCTAATAATTTTTTTTTATTACATGTTCAAATTTATATTTTCCAATGCAATTATTTATTTATTAATCCTTTATTTGTGTTTATAATATATTTTCAGAAAGAATTATTATACTCCTATTTTTATACCGTGCATCGCACGAGTAGAATACTAGTTAATATATGTAGGCACCACCATTTAAGATTTCAGCCCCGCTGCATACTATCACTATTGGAAATTATGGAATTTCCGACCACCTGAAAGTGATCTTAAATTAAGTTGATACCAAAAAGTGGTCGGAAATAGCAACAAAGGTTTTTCCGGATACCAAAAGTGACCGGAACAAGACTTTCGACTTAATTTAAGATCACTTTTAGGTGGTCGAAAATTTCATAATTTCCAGTAGTGTATATATCCATCACAATCGCGATACGGTGGACCACTCCAATCACTCAATGAGTGCGTTAAGGGCACATGCCTACTAGGCAGGCCCATCCTAAGTGCTCTCTATGCCTCTCACTTTATCTTTCACCAAACAGTTAGTCGGTATAGCTCGTACAAACATATATAGTTAGAAACTCCTGAATTAGCATTCACTAGATACATCCATGTCGAGAAAAACGGGATCTAGAGATCAAAAAAAAAAAAAAAAAAAAAAACAGAAACAAAGAAGAAGAATTTACGTGGTTTCACCGAGAACCTAGCTACATCCACAAGAATGAATGAAATCTTTCATTAATTGTAATGATAAAACATTCTGATTACTATACAGTCAGTGAACTGCCCTGCACCCTCAACCCTTGTTGCTCTATTACGCTCTATCGCGTGTTATCTTCCAATAACATAAAGACAAATCACACACCAATCCACATAAAGATGGATGGAAATTTGCCCCCACTTTCAAACAACGTTGCGACACATCCAATTCTACACCGACAATATTAAGGGGTGCAAATTTGGTCCACCTTATTATATATATATATATATGCACTTATAACATAGTCATATATACAAGATTTGAGGTCCTTATAGTTTGCCACTAAGATGATTGGACATGACACTAAAAATATCTATCAAATTAAATAGCCATAAATGTTTCACTTCTCATATTAAATGCTGAAAGACAAACATATATCATTGTAAAGCCAACAACCATAATGTCTAAATTAAATTCTGCTGGATCATAAACTTTCTCCAATGCTGTTTATAGAACAGTGAAGTCATACAAAATTATCAATCATCATCAAAAAACCATGAACAAAAAAGGGAAAATAAACTCAAACTCTTTGTTTATGTTTCTGCAACCTTAATCTTAACAAAGATTAATCCTAGAAATGAAGGAAAATGTTTTCAAGAAGGAAGTATAGATGTGTTTGGTGGTCTATTGAGTTTAGGGAAGAAGAATCTGCCACTGGAGAATGATCTATGCATCACTGCAGGGCTAATAACACAGCCCAGAACATTGTGTCTATGGTTGCTTATTTCTTCTACTTTGGATGATCCAATAATCTCCTGAGGATTCTGGGAATCATGGAAGCTGCATTCTTCGTCGTGATCGATTCGAAGAATGTCTGCTATGGATAGCCTGGCTTGGCAGGAAGAATAAGAATCCATGGACATAGATCTTCTTCTGAGGATTTCTGCTTGGGTGCCATTATTATTATTGTCTTCTCTGATTGTGATTGTATGGTGATCTCTTGCAGGGCTCTTGGGGGTTTCTGCACTTTCTTCTGTTTCTGATGATGATGATGAAGGTTGTTCTTGATTCTGGGGTTCTGGGGTTCTTGGAGGGGGTTCCAAGATTGGGGGAGGGAGAGAAGGGTTCAAGAACACAATGTTTGATCTGCAGAGAGGGCAATTGGAGTGGGATTTAAGCCAGGTATCTATGCAACTAACATGGAATGAATGGCTGCATTTTGGGAGAAGCCTGAGATTCTCATCTTCTTGAAACTCACTGAGACAAACTGGGCAATCTGAGCCATCAATCACCACCCCATCACCTTTCTTGTACTTGAAAACAGTAATTGATTTGATCAAAGCCTCATCCAAGCCTGTATTTGCAGCATTCCATGGCTGCTGCCCATGGATTGAAGGGTCCTGGTGATTATTATTCTCCTCAGAATCATTATCAGACTCTCCCTGATGATCATCACCCCTCCTTCTTCTTCTGTTTCCACAGTACTTTGACATTATAGCATAGTAACTCACCAGAAGAAAAGCACTGGCTAAGATCCCAATAATGGCAATCACAAGAGGGGAAAAACTGGGGGCTGAGGAGGTGTTATCTTCTGGGAAGTCAAATGGAGGTGGAGGGGGGAAGATGATGTAGCACCATTGGGGACAGTATAAGCTGCAGAATCCTTGAGAACAATCCCTGCTGTTCATGTATGGCACCCATGTTTTTGGATCACTTACAGTAGCCACCATTATATTTTGCAGAATATCAGATGAAGAAGATTCAAGAAAAAAGCTTCAAATTCTTACTCACCTCTCCATCTTGGGCACCTGGGAAAACCTATCTGTGAAACAAGGTTAGGGTTTATGTATAGATGCAACAGAAGAAGAGGAAGAAGAAGAAGAAGAAGAGATTTGGGAATGACAGACAGGAAGAGGGGAAAGAAGAAGCTTAGATGGAAAGGAGTTTGAGGGGGGGGGGGGGGGGGGGGGGGGGGTAACAGAGAAGAAAATGCTTTTGATTAGAATTGTGTTTCTTTTCTTTTGTTTTTTGTTATCTTTACTTTATTTTGTTTTCTATATGTATAGTACTTGTCTTTTTTCTTCTTTACCTTAGCTAGCTTGCTTTAATGGAGATAATGGTTTGTTGACTACTATAGGCCATGTTTGTTGGGAAATTCATCAAAGTAATCAATGCTTTTATTATTGCTCAAGGCCACTTGCATGCAAAGTAACCATGTTTACTCTTCCACAAATCTAGCTTCTTCTTCAATGTATAACCCTATATATGTTACTTTAATTTATTATTAATACATATAGAGGGAACCCTAACTGAGTTGATCGGACAGTTGACTTGTTAACCACTACGTTTTACGTACAGCCTCTATGCATGGGAGCCGCCTATGGCCTTCTTAGTTTAAGCTAATCAGCTATGAAAAACCTAGACTGATTTACCTTTAATTTACCTATTCGCTTTCTTAGAATGAACAGCTATAGACAATCTAGACTTGTTTACCTCCTTAAATTTTACCTATAATGCACTTTTAGGTAACACCTGTGACGGGTTCATTTTGTAGTATGGATGAATGCACTAGTTCTTGTAGTGTATAATGTAGTTTGACAATAATCAAAATATATATGTGAGTACTTATCGATAAGGATTGTGATGAATAAAATAGATGATCAAGATTTTTATCTTTATTTTAGAAAATGGTTAAAAGAGGGGAATATATGCATTAGTCATGAGAGAGATGAATATTAAAAGATGAAGAGTGCCATGGGGAATATAATGGGAATCTAGTGAATGCAACTTGGAAAGTGGAACATATTCCTACTTGTTGTGGTTGATGATGTCTCAGATCTTTTGTTGTTTTGGAACTAAAGCTTTTCTTGAATGATTTTTTTTTTTTTTTCAACTTCCTATGATCAATTATATGTCAATTCTTATATTAGTGTTTCTGTTTTCTACTTAGACAGGTGAGACAGAGACACCTAGCCAGCCTACAGTACATATGATCCACATCTCAGAAATTTTCATCTCAAACTCGAGAATCACTACCTACCGTCCAATAGTCTTGGTAAAAAAAAATAATAATAATAAAAATAAATTACGAGCCTGCACGAGTTTTAACTCACTGGTACAATAAACAATATATTTAGAAGAAGAGGTCAAGGTTCAAACTTCGATTGTGCCACAATGTGGAGATTATGTTCAAAGTGAGCAGATTTCTTGTATGTATCGATATTTGATATTGTCCGTTGAAGGTCAAAGTACTTATGAGATCCCTGTACTATAACGTTTTGTTCAATTTAGTCATTCTACCTTAATTTTGTTCAATTTAGTCCCTATACTTTAAAAAGTGAAACGATTAAGGACAATAATTGATATTTATGTATTTATTTTGGACATATTATGTAATATATTGGTGGTAAAAATAAGTAATTTTAAATATTTATAAAATAATATATGAGTTGGTATGTAAGTATGATGATGTGATAGATAAGATGTCTACGCCATATCAGCGATTGTCCTTAATTGTTTCACTTTTTAAAGTACAAGGACTAAATTAAACAAAATTAAGGTAGAAGGACTAAATTGAACAAAAGACTATAGTACAGGGACCTCATAGGTACTTTGACCTCCGTTGAACCATTGATTCACTGTGATTTAATCATCCGAAATGCTCAATCGGGCTGGAGTGTTTTTGCCAATACCTTTTCAGTTAAGCCCATGCCTGGGTGTTCTTGCCAATACCTTTTCAGTTAAGCCCATAGCAAGATATTGAGTCACTGTGATTTATATCATTCGAAATGCTCAATCGGGCCAAGGTGTTCTTGCCAATACCTTATCAGTTAATTAAGCCCATAGCAAGATATTTATAATACGATTTATTTTGTGTAGTTTGCAGACTATTACATAGTGAAGCTTATCTGCTGCACACCTTAAGTAATGATTACAGGTTTCCTTTTCAGTTAAGCCCATAACAAGATATTTATAATACGATTTATTTTGTATAGTTTGCAGACTATTACATAGTAAAGCTTATCTGCTGCACACCTTAAGTAATGATTACAAATTTTTCTCGATCACTCAAAAAAAAAAATCATGAGACGTGTTCAATAATATATTAATACCCACGATAAGATAAATTTATAATGCTCCCCTCAATAGTATTTGAACTCACACATTATGACAGTTAGAAAACAAATCAGACTGTTAACATGATAAATCTATACCAGTAAATTGTTAACAAGACACATTTATAGCAACAAATTATTAACCAGACAAATTAAATTCATACTATTTTTTCTCAATAAGATCTGAACTTGCACACTATAACTATCGACAAACGGATAAATCTATACGATTAAGTTGTTAATCAGACAAATTTATATCAACAAACTATTGTTAACTGAACAAATCTCTATTATTATCTTAGTAAGATTTGAACTTGCGCATTATGACCGTCAATAATTAATTATTAATCATACTTTAAATTCTATCAATTAATTGAAATATGATCAAGGTCACAAATTTCTATACACCACAACAAAGATAAAGAGCATAGACCAGATTTTGATGAATCCAAGAATACAAAAAGCGATGCAGCTATGCAGGAGTCAGAAAACTGAAACAGATCTTCACTGAACTGGAGATCGGCATATCTTTTTTATTTATTATTAATTATTAATTATATATTATTATTATTATTATTTTATTTATTTTGGAACGTCTTGGTGAAAGAATCAAGAATAGTAAAAAATGCAACTTTTCAAAGCGTAAAATCCTAAATATTCTCTAGTTCTTTACTACTCAAAATATCATAATTTCAATTCACGTAAAGCTAAAGATAGAGTTGTATATAATTAATAGGCTTCACAAAAGCTGGATACTAATTGCGTGTGGGTACCAATATTTGACTCTATCGATTGAGTCATTGAGTTACCGTAATTTACATCCTTTCAAATGCTCTATCAGGTCAAGGTGTAAGGAATTTTTGGATTGTGAATTCAATCTTTTGAGAGAAGAATAGTGATCGCGGGCTTTTAATTAAATCAATATATTATATATAATTAATAATTTATGTTTATATAGTGAGGTATGTATATACTTTTTTGAACCCCAACAGCAACAGTGTGGGGATTATTATGCTCAAAATGGGCAGATCACTGATATTTGGCCCTATTTGTTGAACCATTGAGTCACCGTGATTCACTTCCTTCAAAATGTTCTAGGATGGAAGGAAGAAGGGTTGGATCTACCAGGACTATGTGGTTTAATGGTACTCAGGTTGGACTTCTATTTGAAAGGTTGTGATGTTGAATCTCAATGGAGACGTTATTGGCTCTTTGTGTTTTAGTATTTTGAGAAAGTATATGAACAGATACTACAATCTAATAGAGCTAGTAGCATTCAAAAAAATAATAATAATAAAATAAATTCTTTGAAATATATTCAATGCTTGATTCACTAAGTCACAAAATTGTCATGCCCAATTACATCAATTCTCCAATCTTTCCCTATTTTTATATCATGGACCAGGTTCACTTTACATTGTGAAATCATGGTTCAATTAATAAATTATGCCACATATGAATAATTTGATTGTGAAATCATGGTTCAATTAATAAATTATGTCACATATGAATAATTTGAAAGTATAAAATATGTCAACTACAAATACATAATCAGTTAACTGTAAATATATAATATGGTAATCGTATATTATACAAGCTAACTAGAAAAGAAATATAAAAATACTTACAAATTAAAAAAAAAATCTTTTAAAAAAACACCAACACTATAATAAATATAATTAAATTTAGGTTCGAATTAAAATATTCTTTCTCATCACCTCCTCCAACACGCATTCTCATGCTAAAGTCAAATGACATTATACATATATTATATTCCTTTTTGCAATTTCCTAAATGCTTCTTTTGTGCAAGAATCAATTATGTATATATACAGTCAAGTTGATGATGAAGCTTTTAAATTTGTTGCATGCATCCCCCTAGTTTACACAATCACATGCATGGCGAACCGCTTGAGATAAATCAGTCTAAATGATTTATAACTAATCGATTCAGATTGAGAAGATTAATATATAGACAGTTTTAACTGAGAGTCGAGCTTTATTTTTTATGCTTTCTACTCCCTATTATACTACAAAATATATTCCCTATGAAAATATGGTTCCCTAATTGTGTCCTTTTAACCCAATTTTACATGAATTGTGTTGCCAAATTAACACACAACATAATTTTCAGAGCATATATAGACATAAAATCAATGTAGTCAAAAAGAAATTATATAACATTGCTAGACTAGATGTTCAAGTGTTCAACAAACAATGAACTTTTGACTGCCATTATTAAAACATTCCTATAGTTGGCCTACATATGTATATAATTCAATTAATATATATTTTGTGCTCCTGCTACTATACACAACTATATTAGGGACAAGAAAGATTTTTTACTTTTAAATATATATTAAAAAGACAAAAGAACATAATACAAATATAATAAGACTAATCCAATCGAGTTTTGATCGATCCCATTTAAGAGCATCTTGATTTTTTTTAAGGGCGTTGCTACATACACATGAGTTCTCTTATTTTTTTGGGTGGCGAGGGAAACTCGAGGGTGTGCATGCAGGAAACTCTGCTTTGTGGTTGGGGGCTAGCCAGCTAAGGACTACAAGGAAGTAAATCAGTCCAAGTTGCCCCTAATTGGTTCAAACAAAGAAGGTCAATAGGCAGCTCTCACTGTGAGTACACATGAGTTCTCTTGATCTTATATTTATGTGACTCAAATTTGAAATTCCTTTCACTTGAGTCAACGTCTTTTGAATTGGTAACTTGAAAGTGGATTTGAGAATCAGTGGATTATATGACTAAATCTAAAAACAACATAGATAACTAAGATAAGAATCCAACTAGCTAGTAAATTGCAGCACCAGCTTTCTCCCAACAAGCTAAGTGAGTACTGAAAAGCCATTGTTGCAAATGAAACTAACCACCAAAATTGATTTGGGTCATATATGGTGTTGTGACCGGCAATTTATATCCTACACCACGGCGCGCGTTACACTGTGCGCCCAGATGCAAAACGACGTCATTTTAATTTTTTTAATTTTTTTTTTTAAATTTCCCGCCCCAGTGAATGACAGTAATTTTTTCTTTAAAAAAAAATCCGTTGTTCAAAAATGTACATAATGTTATACTAGAATATACATAATTGTATACATGAATGTACATAATTATATAACAAAATATACATACTCTTTTTAAAAGATAATACACATAATCTAACATAATACATAATAAACATAAACTTTTAACATAATACACATCAACTCTTAACATAATACACACAAATTTTCTGATTCGGATGTACATAATTGTATAAAAAGAATGTACATAATTGTATAAAAAAATGTACATAACTGTATGAACAAATACACATAATTGTGTGAACAAATACACATAATTGTGTGAACAAAACACATAATCACAGCAACTTCCTACCGCGCCTCCCAAAACAACCACAAAACGACGTCGTTTTGGGAGGCGCGCGGCGCACAGTGCTACGCGCGCCGTGGTGTAGGGTATAACGATTGGTTGTGACCCATTAAGGTGGTCTTTTGTCATGAGATACTTGGGCTTGCAGAATTACTTACTCTGTATTACATTAGAGAAATTAAAGAAAGAAGTCCAATCTATTTGGACCATCTCTTTTTACAAAGTGTTTGCAGGAAATAGAAATTGGGCTGATTTGGGACATGCATTCTTTAAAAAAAACAAAAAACAAAAAACAAAAAAAAAAAAACAAAACAAAACAAAACAAAAAAAAAAAAAAACATTGTATCTTCTTTCTTGTTTTCAGGTTGAAGTTTTGATATAATTAAGAAATAAATTGCGGGATATATACGTTTCAATTGTCTAGATTCCTTGCTCAAAGTATTTATACCTTATTGACGGTCAGCGAAATAGAACTATTAATTCTGATCTATATATTTGAATTGTGATGCGGTAAAATATTTCCTGCAAACACTTTGTAAACTCTTTTATTATGAATACGTATACAGTACAAGATTGGACTGGGGTTTGACCATAGTTTGGTCTGCTTGTCGGTTTAAAGTATTGGGCTCGGCAAGTGGCGTGAGACCAGAGATTCCCGTGCATATTAAGGCTGTGTAGAAATAGCCCAACAAAAGTCCACTTTATCGCTACTTTGCGGGGTATTTATAGGTGATTCGGGGAACACATGCCGAGGGGGGTCGGCATGCGCGCCACGCGTGACACGTCCTCCATGCACTCGGTAATCCGGCCAGTTAAGGAGAAGCGCACATGTGTATTAATATGTCTGGCTAGCTATTTACTTATTGGAATCAATTCAGGCGCTAATATAAGCACTTGTGTTCGAGATCTCGGACGAGCAATCATGTCAAACCGAGCACAAAAAGACTAAGCCAACGACTCATAGAGCCAACAAGACAATTAATCAAGGTCGGGTCGATCAAGCGCCACACTACGATAGATTCAGGTCGAGAAACAGTCCGAGTCTCAAGACAGTTCGTATACGACCAGGTCCTAGGCACAAGAAAGACCATATGCCAGGGTATATATTCCCTATTAAATTGGTTAATTAGTTGAATAAGTTATGTTTCAAAAGAGGAGAATTGCATTTGAAGACTCCTATTCTCAAGTGTAAATGCAGCGCAGATGCATTTGAAGATTTCATCACTTCTTTGTACTGCTCTTTGGCACATGAATATCAAGGTGCTTAATTGGCAACAAAAGTCTTCTTTCTTTTACTTTTGTTCTCATTACTAATCAACCTATCTAGCTAGCTTCTTTTGAAAAAAGTTGCACTAAAGTTTCTGTACATCTGACCTGGCCTAAAGCATTGAATTAAAATCCTACTTATAATTAAGAATCATTGTCGATTCTGCTCCTTAGCTAGCAAGTTCCAGCTCTCATGGATCCAATGTTCTATGGGGGTAAAAATGTTTTTTTTTTTTTTTTTTTTTTTTTTTTTTTTTTTTTTTTTTGTGTGTTTTATAAATTGGCTCGACCAAATGAGTGGTGGCAAAATCTAACTCATAATCTTCATGTGTGAAGGTCATGCTTCACCTTGTAGATCACCTCTTTTTGTAGCAAATGTTTGGTACGTTTGTTATTAGTTTGAGTGACGCTATATATAAGAGAAATAAGAAGAGCTGAAGTCGAACTTATAATAGTAAAGAATTATTCATAACATACCTTGTATCGTTTTATTTAATTTTTTTCATTTTAATTTTCATCATTTTTATCCTAAAAGTTTGATGTCATTTTTATCATTGATGCATTATAATAAAAATTATCACTATAGATGCACAAATCTTTTCTTTATTTGCTTATCGTTGTTGCTTGTTCTGGTAAGAAATCCGAATGAAATTTCTCTCGATTTCATTACATGACTGACTAAAGTTTACAAGTTGTAGTAGTTCATTTACACGATATGCTCTTACCGTGTAAAAAGTGTGATTTTTTCCTATAAACTTGGATCATTCCAAAATCATGTAACAAAATTCAAAAGATTTTACATCGAAAGAATCAAAGTTGAAAAATAAAAATAAAATTCATGCACATATATTGACAAATTTTTATAATTCTACATCAATATATAATAAGAATGCCATTAAGCTCTTAACAATAAAAGCTGCTTTCCTTCTTTAATTCATACCTTCCTCTTTCAAAAGGTTAAATCCCCAACTTCAATGGTCTCTACACTCCGACCCAATAGAACATTTAGGAGGATGTAAATCACGATAACTTAACGGCTTAACAGACATAGTCAAATACCAATGCACAACAAGGGATCTGTCTACTTCGACCATAATCCCCAACGTTAAAGACCCCATACTTTAATCTGACAGAATATTTAGAAGGATGTCACGGTGACAGTAGACATAACCAAATGCATGTGTGCATAAGAAATCTACCTACTTTGAACGTAATTCCAACATTGCCCCCATAAAGCTATGCCATTTCCTCTTCCTCCTTTCAATCTCCCATCTCAAGACTTAGGTTTTTTACCAGCAAAATAAACAAACCCCCAAAACCATAGTTTTAGCTCCATTCAAAAATGGCGGTCACCAACAACATTATGGTGGGCTGCATAAACTTCACAGCAATGCTCCTCTCAATCCCCATCATCGGCTCCGGCATCTGGCTCTCATCCCAACCAGACAACCTCTGCGTCAAGATCCTGCAATGGCCGCTCATAATCATGGGACTCGTCGTCCTCGTACTCTCTCTCGCCGGCGCTGTCGCCGGGTTCTGGAGGATCCGCTGGCTTCTCATCTTCTACTTGGTCGCCATGCTTGCTCTCATCGTCTTGCTGGCTTGCTTCGTGGCTATGGTGTACTGGGTCACCCTGAAAGGCTCCGGCCACCCTGAACCTAGCCGGACGTTCTTGGAGTACCGCCTCGACGACTACTCCGGCTGGCTCCGGCGGTGGGTTCAGAGTTACCGGAAGTGGGATGGGATCAGAAGCTGCCTTAGATCGTCGAGTATGTGCGGTGGGTTGAATCAGAATTACCGCTTGGCTCAAGATTTCTTCAATGCTCATATTACCCCCTTGCAGGTAATTAATTAATTGATTCACTCTTAATTTGTTCCCAACTTCCCATTTTGCTCTAATTAATTATTGAGTCAATTCTTGGGAGAAAAATGATAAATGGACTCTAAGAAAGTAAAACTCCTACCATGTGTTTTGATTTTATTAGAAGATGATGAAAATAAAGTAATAAAAATTGTAGGATGACTTACCTTTTCTTTGAATGAATGAAAGAGTGAGACTATGTGTAATATAACTCTTTTTAATAGGGAGAATTGGGCAAGACATTAGTTGACACTATTTAGTGGCTCTTTTTATTTGAATTGATTAATTATAAGCAGCATAAGCTAATTTATTTCTTTGTGAGTTCCACCCAGCCAAAACACGTACACTTTCCTATAGAGGTCGGGATTATTCACTTCTAGGTTTTTTTTTTTTTTAGAGTGAGACTACCGTAAACCACACTAGAGCTCGTGACCAGAGGGTGTCGCTACCAGAACTTGTGACCTTCTTGTACGAGAATCAAATCATGTTACCACTCGTCACTCGACTGATCATTTTCTGGTGAAGGCGAAATCCCTCGCTCTAAGGGCCCCACACCCTGACTATATAGGATAGTGAAAAGATAAATCACAGTAACTCAGTGACCTGTTACTTAGGTTTAAGGACGAACGTCTGGCTCTCACAACGCAAGGAGTCACAATATTATTGTAACTCTCACACTGTAACTGTTATGTTAACACCCTGCTTTGTCTCCACAGTCGGGATGCTGTAAGCCGCCGACGGAATGCGGGCACACATTTGTGAACCCGACGTATTGGATCAGTCCGAAAGACATGGCGGCGGACATGGATTGTCTGCGGTGGAGCAACGACCAAACGCAGCTCTGCTATTCCTGCGATTCTTGCAAAGCCGGTTTGCTGGCAAATCTGTACAAGGAATGGAGAAGGGTGGATATCATTCTGGGGATCACTCTTGTCGCCCTCATCGCCGTTTATCTCGCCGGCTGCTGCGCCTTTAGACGTGCCAAAACTCCACACCTCTCCCGCAAATACAAGCAAGGTAGTAGCTAGTAATGATACTTAGATACCAATGGAGATCAGAAGTTGTACTATAACACTTGGGTTTGGTATTATCTTAACCTAATTTGATGGTAAGTTAAATTTTTAAATGTAGCAAATTTTGCGGACTTAGTCAAACAATTGACTTGTTGGTTTGAGTCAATCAATAAGCTATCGATATATATATGGATGGCAATGAGGCTAGGGCCTAAGACTATACCCCATCCTTGTTTGGGAATAGAAATTTCTTTACATTTCTGTCCCCGGTCAACCTTATAGTCAAACTAATAGTTTAGTACAATTTTAAATATTTTAATAAAAACTTTAAATATTAAAATTAAAATTTAAATTATTAAATTCAAATATTAGTCTAGCATTATAAGTCATTAATATTTCATAACTTCATAAAAAAAATATTATTTCTTTAAATAAATGTACCCGAGATAGGGTGTGACAAGACATGGACAGTAGGGTAGGGCAAGAAGGGGTATCCCTGTCCTCATATGTGTTTCCCATTGTTCTCGTCCTAGTTAGAGTGGGGATCGGAGGTCTCAAAAGATCGTGAAGAAATTGTCATCCCTAAGACCCTAACCTCGTATGTGTATTTGACTTTCAATTTTTTTTTTTTTTTTTTTGTTTTTGTTTTTGAGTATTAGTACTCACTTACATATATACTTTCACAATCTATTGAAACACAAAGAGTCAATGCCCTTACCTGGAGTTCAAACCTGTGACCTCCTATTTAGGAGAGTCACAAAAGTCTCATCGAGCTACAAGCTACTTGGGAAATGTTCTTTTTCAAGTTCAGATTGAAACTTTAGAAAAATCAATAAAGAAAAAATAAAAATAAAAAACAACAAAATATGATGTAACCAACACTTATATAAAACTCACGGAAACATTAAAATTATGACAAAACTGCTGAAAGAAATATGGCGATAACTACCTAAATACAATGAATAAGAAACTAATTCATCCATTTTCTCTTCATTTATTTTTATAAACGTTTCAAGTAGTATCGGCTCTCTTAAATATAAATATACTATACATACAAAAACACATCATTTCATGTGAGATTTGTTCTTCCAACATTTTTCCTATGCTCATCTTTTCACAAAGAGTGGATGGGGGCCAATGTCGTTGACTATTTGGTCGGAAAATATGATGACAAAAGTCGCCAAAAACACCAACATTCGCGCTGGCGCCGAAAGTTGATTATTTTTATGTTAGTATACGTATTTGGGACAATATGTCCCATGGTTATACAGCTCTGTGGATCATACTATTAAATAATTTACGTTCAATATATAAATAATGTATTATTAATATATTAAAAATATATATTATATTTAAAAAAAATATATTATTTGAGTACTGAAAGTATATTATTTTGTATAATGTACATTCAGAACGCAATAATTTGCCTTAGTTGGGGCCTTCATATTGAGGCCCAGTCAAGAATCTCAGTGAACTTAGAAATGTCACTTTCCAAGCCCATTCTCCATTGGCCTAGTTAATGTACACTGCAAGTGCTTTCCAGGTATTAAGATGGATGGCCCAAATGTCACCCAATAATTGCCCATTTGGTACATTTCTACTTGATCGAAATAAGATTTTTTAAGTGTGAATTCCAAACTTAAAAGGTTCCATACTACTCTTGTTTTAATAGACGGGTAGAGGAGATAAATCACATATATGTCTCAACTAGCTAAAAGTCTTTTAAATATTTATACATTAGTGTTCACAAGATCTTACATTTTTTACTTTCGGTAGGATTCGAACCCTGGACACTGTGACTGCTAGCAAAGCAGAGCTTATGAACTTATTTTGAATTAGTTTAACTAATTGAGTTCGTTGTGCCTCGAGAGCAAGGCTTTTGTTGTATCAAAGGTGGAGTGCGATTTGGAGCGGATGGTGAGTTAGCTGACACAAGAAAATTTATCTTAAGATCTATTAGTTAATATGATTGAGAGAAAGTTGTAGAGTTTTGATGAATCGTCGAGGGGAGATGTATTTAGTCCATATCTACAAAGAGCAGAACAAAGATATTGATTATAGATTTATAGATACATACTATAATAAGAAGTACATTATAAAAATTGATACTCATTAGTCATTTCAACAATATACAAAATATGTCCAACTCACATATTCATCACCCATTACTATGATAATACTTTATATTATGATTTCCCTTGATTGGACTTAATAAATGATATTTTCATTTTGATGGAATGTACACTGTACTTTTTTTTATACTAACATGTGGAACATAAAATAAAAAAAACATCACTCTCATGTTATCCAATCTCAACAACTACATAATACAAATAGAAATAAATAACACGGATTTATTGTGTAAATCATGTTCCTGTGTAATAATTCGTAAATCACACATGAAAAGTAAATTGCACTAGGAAACCATGTACGTCAGACTCGACCAAAAAAACAGTTGATAAGAATTGAACTTGTAATAAAGAGGTAAACTCAAATGCGTTTTTCATTCTATACTTTAGTGTATATTGACTTAAATAGTATAATGTCGATTAGAGAAAATTACTAATATTTTTTTTGGATGGATAAAATAAGATTTCTTTATTCTAAAGTAAATCAAAATTTACTACATCAATCAACTGTTATATATCATCGTTTCACAATCATCATTTATTTTTTGACATGAAACAGGTGAGAGTATTTATATAATAAGAAAGTAAAATAGTTATCGGTGTCAATCAGAGAAGATAATGCTCATATAATGAGATAATATCTGATCGGTCTAATAATAATTACACATATAATTGTGGTGAATAGTGAAGTATTTAATTTGGGAGCATTCAACAAAATTGATATGTCCATGTCCAAACAAATATGCTTTACATGAAAGGGTCCCTGCAACTTAATTGCGTGCCCAACTTTCCATGACCCATTACTTCATCTTGAAAGCAATATGATCCCACCCAACAAGTGAAGTGTGGGATGTATGCAATACACTTATTAATGTTGTTTTGGCATTTTCCTAGTTTCAAACAATTGACTTGTTTGGATAGATACTTCCCTCTTGTTTTCCCTATACTCTCATCATCTTCTTCATCTTCATCTTATCCCTTCTTCTTGGGCTTATCTCTTAGCAAGCATGGACCCCACTTGCAAGCTACTTGGGCCAAATATGGTGTCATCTACTTTTTGTGAGATGGCCCAATTTTATGGCTTGGGTTATTGTAATGTATGTCCACCCTCTATCTACTCCTATTTGATTTTGCACTTGCCTAATGTGGTATGTTGTAAAGCTATAGGTTACCGAATTTGTTTACTTGAGAACTCCCCTAGCTTAGCTTGTCCCTAGATGCATAGATGCAATGGATTGTGTCCTTCTTAGCCTAGTGGTCCATTATTGCATTAATCATACTATTTTATCATGACATGATGAACTAACATTGGACTTTAAATTGAATTAGAAATGTATCTTTTTACATGCTTTTTTGCATGAGTGTGACACTCAAAATTAAAACTTGTGTCTAATTAACAAGAGTTGTGTTTTCAAGTGAAATATAAAACCAAATGCTAAGGGTCCATCAAAAGAAGTTGCAACGTAACGAGGGAAACTGTCCTAGAGAATAAGTTTGTAGTTTCACTTTTAGTGTGATAGTTGGTTTGACCTTGCATTAAAGTTTTGAGTTTTTTTTTTTTTTTTTTTTTTTTTTTTGAAAATCAACTAACTTCATTAAATCAAACTAGAATCAAATCTGAAATACAAAGCGGTGGAACAACGTCCCAAATTCCAAGGACAGACGAGGAACCAGTCGCATGTGTGCTAACACGTGAGCTACATGAATCGTTGACCTTTGGACACGACGGACAGTAATGTCCCCAATGTCCCTAGCAATTGATAAAGTTTGAGTTATTTATCAGGAAATCATTTATACTGGAAAATATGACTTTGGGGATTGGAATTAGAGAATAATTTGATGGTGGTTATTAAGAAGATTGTACACTTTAATCATTTCCCTTATTAAAATTGTTGGACACCTACTTATGATTCAAAGAATTTTAAAAAATGAGGGATTTGTTCATGTACACTAAAGTGGGTAGATGACACACTAAGTGCATTAAATTGGTGGCTAGTGATTGAAAGAAAGTAACAACAAAAGTTGGTCAAAAAAAGCAATGGAGGGGTGGAATTAAGCAACTCTCTAGGAATTGAGGGGCCAAATATAAAATTTGATATGCAAACAGGGCAGGGCAGGTAATGTAGGTGAGCTTACAGAAGACTTGCTAAATCAATCTTAATTCTTAACCAATGGTATTAGGAGTGCTGGGCCCCACATCATGGACATAATTAAATACAAACCTCAGCAATGTGTGTTGGCATGCAAATGGCCATTGCCCATGGCCCCCTCTTCACAATTTTTTCTAATACTAATAATAATTTAGAATATTTTCATGGTATAACCCGACAACAGTAATTTTTGTATCAAGTACAATTATATATATATATATATATATATATATATATATATATATATATATATATATATATATATATTATTTGCGTTGTGCTGATCAAATATTGTTAGTATATGTCTCAATAGTACCGAGAGTTATCAGAATTTTGGAAATGTTTACGATATCGTTCAGTGATGTTTTTTAATTTAATTTGTACAATCATATATGTTATTTAGGTTGTATCATCAACACTTGTCTTGCATATTTTTCCTTAGACCATTGGTTTAGTGAATGAGTACCTCAGTTACAACATGTTTTTAGCTATTAGGAGCTACAGGGTGGGTTCGATCCCTACCACAAATATTACGTGTTTGGGTCCAAGATATAGTTCAACGAAGTCGGGAAACCTTGGTTCCCAATAATAATAATTTAGGAAATTTTTGCAGTGTTGTTCAATAGTGACATATATTTTTGTACTAAATACAACTATATGTGTTATGTGTTTGTGTTGTATCAACACTGTCAACACTTATCCACCCAGTACTCGATGTAACTAGACATACCATGCGCAATTATACCAGATACAGAAAGACATAAACATCAATCAACACTTTAAAAAATCATAATAATTTAATATATGTTATATATATAATTAAAGACTTGGTAAACTTAAGTGACATCATGGGTGAGGCAAGTTGAATTGATAATGTTGATTAAAAAAAGAATGGAATGATAAGGAATACATTATAATGTTCATTTGCACCAAGGCCA